CTTATACACATCTAGATGTGTATAAGAGACAGCCCCCCTCCCCCGCAAAAGTCCTCGAACACCTACACCCAGGAATGGCTTCTCAACAACAGCAAGCATGAAGGTAAAGAGGCTTATGTCCGGGCACAAATCAAAGGAGAACCAAGGGAAGTTTTAATAGGAGGGTCCTTCGAAACATCCATTAAAGTTTTAATAGGAGGCATCCATTGAAGTTTTAATATGCTAATCTTCATTCTCAACAATAGGAGGCAACATAAGGGTAAGGGAGGGGTCCTTCTAAACATCCATTAAAATTGGAATGATGCAGAGAATGAAGATTAGCATGGCCCATGCGCAAGGATATGACACGCATTAATCGATTGTAAGGAGGGAAACGCAGTATAGATATAAGGGAGAGGGAGGGACAGTCTGCTAGAAGGGGGGGGGGGGGTAGTTGCTTTCTCTTTCCCGAAAGGGAAGCTGAAACTGCTGCAGAATCAGGGCATGTCTGAATATGGGAATATTGGAATAATGTACAGGTCAGGAAAGTTAGTATAACAGGGGTGAAGCAAGGGTCGAGGGATGAATTTAAAATTAAAAAAAAAAGAAAAAAAAAAAGGTTGAAAGTTAAAAACTTAAAACAGTATAACAGGTGAAGCTGCACTGCAGCAGGAATACCCCATTTTTTCTCGAAAGGGTATTTTCTGTGCTGCCTCGAGGACAGTCTGATGCTGAGAGTCTTATTCGGATGCAAATGAACTCATGTGAGGGGCGCTGGACCCAATTTTCAGCAGGTGGTGGTCCCCACCGATGGAGTGGAGCCATCACAATGGGAGCCAACTGCATGGGGATGCTTGTATCACCTTCAGGTAGTGGGGCAGCCCAACCAGATGTTGAAAAGCAGGGGGGCACAAAAGGGTGTCATGTCACATGTGCTAATTCTCTCTCTAATTGTCTCTATTTAATTCATTTCAAATTTTTAATATTTTATTAATCCCATGTTAAACAGATTATCCCAAAAAAGGAACATATTAGGATTTAATTATTTTTAATACGATTTATTAAATAAGTTTTACAACTTTTACTTTTCATTCTGCTGTGTTATGTTTTGTTTTTCGCTTTGTTTTTCCTTTTCCTTTTGCTTTTGTTTTGCTTTGCTTTTCTTTGTTTGGACTTATCGCAAAGGATGAAGTTCCGATGAACATATCACGATTTATTAATTAATTTTATTTCCATCCTTTCTTTTTTAAAGTTTTTTCCCCTTCCTTTTTAACGTACTGAAAGGCATTCCACGATGCGGACCCCAAATCCGAATTTCAGTGTATTAAATTATTTGCTGGAAACCCGGGGCAAGGTCCCACTTGCACGCATTAGGAGATTTCGGCCGTCGATCTCGGCTATCTACGGTGTCTATCTCTTAATTCGTGCAAGTGGGACCTAGCCCCCGGTCCAGTAAGGACTCGCTTCCAGCCTGTTCAGCTTTTGTTTTCTGTTTTTTTTTTTGTATGTTTTTGTTTTGGGAAATTTTTCGAAATGCCCCTCCAATTTGCATTTATGTGCGGTATGCCCCTCCGACGGCCGACTTACCCTGCCGTGCTCCTGGGGTCACCGAAGTTTCCGGCAGGCCCCTGTCAGTGAGTGGCGCGACTTTCCAGCATGCCCCTGTGGCCGTTGGTGGAGCTCGCGGCCGTTCCCATGGCCCTGTGAAGAGAGCTACAGGGGCAGACTGGGAATTTGGAACCGGTACCAGTAGGGGCATATTGAACATATTTCAGGCCCAAAGGACGTCAGGGTTTTTTCGGAAACTTCAATTGTGGTCGAGGGGCTGGACAGGGTAAGTCCACTGTCAGGGGGGCGTACTGCAAAAATAAAATGGAAGTCAGAGGGGCATTTTGAAAATTTTCCATTTGTGTTTTTTATTTGGCTTGGCTTTTTATTTTCGTTTTGTATGTCTGCGTTGTTTTTGTTGCCTTTATTCAAGTTTATTGTCTTTGCTT